ATTTATTTTCTACAGCATTGCCATATTGAAATTGCTTAATTCAGTATAAATTCAGTTTGATTTTGTGCATTTACAACACATAAAAATGAGGATAATGTACAAATTAATTTGAATTAAGGCTGTTAATACAAATTAAGGCTGTCGTCTGTCTAGGCTATTATAAAGTTTGATTTTGCCTCTGAAAGTCGTGTAAGTGACTGCGGAAGTACCCATATATGGTCTGTTCCCGAACTACAAGAATCTACGAGAAGAAAATTGTAATAATTAGTAGGTTGTTGTAGTACGGGAACAGACCAATCAGTGACAATGGCTCAATTAGAGGAAAGGTGTGAAAGCGATAGAAATATAAAGTTCTTAGATTTTCATTCATGTTTTTCAATTTTATTTTGAGGATTCCAAAATATTTCGTTTTTAAAATAAATATTTTTTGCACTTTTTACAATAACAATATGGGCGTTTTCCAGGTTTCAGGTCAGGAAGCGACAGTTTCCTAAATTTCTTCAAATTGGTTTTTGTCTAGTGTAATATTTTGAGTTTATATGGCAACCCTTATATGGCAACAGTTGTTGTTTTTATTTGTGGACCACAAACAAACACAATGTAGCCATATCTACGTATTTATTTATGTTCCAAACCATATGATTCCACAGCTAAAGAGAAACTAAAGAAGACGTCTGTCAATACGTCACCAGAGAACCAAGCCAGATGGCTATACAACCATTACGTGTTTCAGACGTGACTCACACGCTATGGGAGATTCCCCCACACTTTGTATGGTCGTCATAACGCCAAACTGTTGCGTAGTCACGATTCGTGGAAAATGCGATGAGTGATTTGCTTCTAATCGTCGTCCTAGGCGTTTTGTTGTTGCAATGGTTGTGTTCTTGAATTTTATATTCAATGGAGTTCAAATGTTGGGAATATACAATTTTGAGTGTAAAATGCCACTCCAATTAATTCATACACACTGTTAATAATGCCGAATTGTTGGCTTTATCCGACTAAATGTTTTATAAAAAAATCAGATGAATATCTCTTACACACTCTGATTAGGAAACTGGAGAAGTTCCTGTGACCCATGGCACAATTATTACATCTTTTTCTTACTATGGCTTGTTATGCCAAAGTCATATTCAAAATGTGTGACTGTGCGTGTAACGTTTTGAAAAATATAACAAAATTGCTCGAAAATGGATTTGTTTGAAGATTAATTTTATAACATTTGTGAGAAGAAGTGTATGATTTGTGAATGAATCAACATATAAATCATATCTCCAACTCTCCTTTCTGACAAAAGCTAACCTACATTTCTGCATTTCTTTTCATTTATTCTGACATTATTGCCTATAAGGTATAATTGTACCATGCTTTGACCCTTGTAAGGTAAAAACTGAAAACGCATTTTCTTTGAAATCGAGTGATATGAGAAATTGGAGTGAATGTCATTGAAATAAACAGCTGGAACCTTTACAGTAATACCGTTACAAGGGAGGTATTCTGAAAAGTTTATTTTATTATCGCGGTCGCACAAATATCAGGGAGCTTCATAGACAGGCAAATATTTTTATTTATTTTATACTAGCATAGGTAGCGAATGTGGGAAATATTTAAACATGTCGTAACCTATTATGTCGTTTTCACAGAAAAGTGCATATGGACACTTGCGCGCTCATTTGGACGACTTTCGAAGCCACAAAAACTTTAAATTCTAAAGAAATCAAACACACACAAAAAACAAAGAATGTTGGAATTTACGTTTATTTATAATTTTTACTTTAATAAACGTAAAAAAATGACAACAATTTTATGATTTTCGACAGCATTGCCATATTGAAATTGGTTAATTTAGTACAAATTCAGTTTGATTTTGTGCATTTAAAATGAGGATAATGTAGAAGTTCATTTGAAATATTTTTAAATCTTCATTACCTCATGACTACTCAAATATCAATAACAGATTCTTAGAGGTGTCTCATAATAACTTCTCATAACGAGTTCATATTGAATTGTAATACATTTAGGTAGTAGCCTACAAAAAGCAGTTGAACGTCATGGGAGTGTATTAGAATAATTGTTTTTCTGGAAAACAAATTGCTTTCTATCATGTAGGTAGGAGTACCTTAATTTACAGGAATATTCATTGAATCTATACACAGTGTTAAGTTTGTGCTTATGATGGAGATAGTCTACCTGAGTGAATACTTTTTTTAGATCAAGTGTTTATTATTAGTAAAATGCCGTCTTATAGTATCTGTTAAACAATTGCCACTTTTTTCCTAATGGGATCTATTTTTGCTGTCTTCCAGTTCCATGGAAATGTATAAGCCTGTATAACTGACAATATGTAATAAGTATATTGATATGTGATATATTGTTTAATATATATTTAATATATTGTTTTGCCAAGTGCACCGAACAATTCATTGTGTCATAATTATACAAGGTAGTCTCATGCAGTTGTTTCCATTTTTTTCATAAATTATCTGTTGACAATATTCAGCTTACAAAAAGGCAATGAAAATCCATTTTTTTTGAAATGTACACATATCAGGTGTTCAGTGGCAAAAATTGCAAAATCGTTTATGTTAATAAATATTTTTGAGATTAGTCTGAGCTTTACAAAATATATTTTGTTTAAGTTATTGAATAAAACTTTAGGGAATTTATTTTTCATTTATAAAATTAATCATCATTTTTCATTAGGCCAAAGATCGGCATACAATACAATTTTATGAAATTTATTTTTCATTTTATTTAAATTGGGTAGAATCTTAGTTGCAGTCAGAAATTTTGTTGTAGGTTTCTGTAAATAATTACTACTTTTACTAGTATTGCTAGTCAAGTTAATGAAATGTGGAGGCCCGAAATTGTTATCGTAATTGTTAAGATGTTGCTCTTTTTATTTCATAAGTAAAGGATTTTTTTAATATAAGTGCAATTATAAGTTTTTGTAGGCTGGTAACTTCTTAAATGTCTGCAGACTTTGAAAATAGTGTGAATAAATAAATAAATCGATTTGTGATGAATCCCATATTAAAAAGGGTTACCATTATCAATTTCTCAAATGAGACTACCTTCCATAATTATGCCACGTCAATTCTGTACCACACAAGAAAACGATGCTTTATATTTGGAATAATCAGATGATAACCTTTGTAAGCGTGCGCCTTATACCTTAAAAATATTGAAATAAATTATAATATTTTATAATTATATTTGTTATATTTATGAAAATACTCTAAATAGTCAGTTTCTTCTAGTTATTTTACTTTACTATGTCCATGGAGAAGTTTTCAATGAAAATCTCAAGGCGGGACAGTTAACGTTATTTATCAGCGACAAAACCCGATGTTGTATAAGCTAATAATTTATTTAAGTATTCTGATAAGACCATTAGGTCTATGTTTGCAGTCAGGTTCGAAAATGGACTTTATATAATTATATAATAAATAGTTATTTTTTTATAAAAACAACAAACTGGGATTTAGCTTCACTATTTTCCAAAAACAAAATACAAATGGTATCCGCCAACACTGCTGAAATAATTTTTGACAATGATGTTTATTACTAACAAAATTGAAAAAAAAAATTGTTATTTTTTGCATATGTAAACTGATTCTTGGCATACTGTATTTACTCCAGAAAGGCGTAGAACGGAGAAGTTGACTGTGAATGAAAGAGAAGTGGTTCACAATTAAATTGATACTAATATGTACCCGGATATGGTAGTTATACATAAATATTTACCGGTGTCTACGTATTCTAATAGCGTTTAATTTACCATTACTACACTAGAGGGCGGAAATATCGCGCTGATTGCTTTGAAATTTTGCATCAAGTTCCGGTTATGATGAAGTGCGACATCTGAAGTTTTTGGTGGTGATCGGGTTTATTCAAACTAATCCTGTAAAACATATGGACATTTCAATATATCAATGAGAAATCGAAAAACTACACATTTTAGGGGCGATACCATGCCACAATTATTAAAGGTCGTCTTTCGAATGTACGGATAACATGTGGTCAGTGGCAAAATTTTAAAATTATTTACATTTATTTGTTGGCAATAAGTAAAAACAATTTTGCAACTGTTGCCGCTGATATTTTTATTTATATGTTGAAAGCTGAATGGTGGTGATCGGGTTTATTCAAACTAATCCTGTAAAACATATGGACATTTCAATATATCAATGAGAAATCGAAAAACTACACATTTTAGTTGGCGAAATGCCACAATTATTAAAGGTCGTCTTTCGAATGTACGGATAACATGTGGTCAGTGGCAAAATTTTAAAATTATTTACATTTATTTGTTGGCAATAAGTAAAAACAATTTTGCAACTGTTGCCGCTGATATTTTTATTTATATGTTGAAAGCTGAATGGTGTCAAAAGTAAGATTATGAAAAAATGGGTAAGGTGTAATGTAAAATTCTCGTAATTAACATTTAAATTGATGTCGAAATAGGATATCAGGAAAAGTGTGCCCTTTGTCCAAATTGACCTTCCGGGTTTATATTATACTTACATACTTAAGTTTGCAGCATAGTGTGAGCAAAGCATGGAAAAATTATGTTAAAAAATTACAATGTGTAATGTTGAACTATAACATCCATTAACGGAGTTCCTCCAAACATATATGTGGCTTAAAATCATTATATTTATTATTAAATCTCTTTCAAATATAATCCAATATTCTGAAATATTATAATTAAAGGAAGTGAATTTTCATCAATCTTAGTCAATAGAAGTAAATATGAATTTTATTTTTTTTTTTCCAAATACGTGTATATGTACAAACATTACATATTCAACTGTTTGGAATACATATTCCAACAAGAAACTTATCTACTATCCCTATTTATTTATGTCTTTGAATGTACAATACATATTTTTTATTCGCAACGTTTGGACGGTGTGGAACTACACAGTTCAGAATAGTACGAGGATGTCATCATCTCGGTTTGGTTAGGTGTAGACTAGCTGTTGTGAGGCAGGAAACTATTCGTTTTGAGTCGGTGTAGTGTTTTCGGCGCTGCTAGGTGTTGTTGATGGTGTGTTACTGCTGGTTAAGTTAATCGGCGATGTAGCGATTAGAGGGCCGCAGATGTTATTAGCCACCGCTGTGGACGCAACTGAGCAGGTTGCTAAAACATGACGGCAGGGTTGGGGCGATGTAGGATTCGACAAACCAGATTCGTGTATAGGTGAAAGTGTGGGTGACCTCGTAAGAAGGAAATGTTTTCGTCTCGGCCGTCGGAACATTCCGTTCGTAGTGGGCAATCGCTGGACGGGTGCGTAGGACGATGAGATTGCATTATTAGATGTACCATAAGAAGCAAATGTTAGGGTATCTACTAACTCATCTAGATCGGCATTAATGGGTATTTTTCGTCTGGTTGGCGGGGGCAATGCTGGAGGAAGAATTACACCCGCTGGATTCATACTATAAGTCATCGAGGTATCATCTCGAATAACCGACGTAGGCAATAACGAAGTCTTATACGTGGCCCCAACCGATTCTGATGCTGGAATATATTTGTAGTCGTTGTGGTTGCTGGAATTGGTTGACGACAACGAAGCGGTTGACGCTGGATGTGGAGAGCTACAGTCTGAATCGGAGAGACTTGTACTGTTAGCCTCCATACGCAAAGGAATTGGTCTCACTTTGTTCTGTTTCAAATGTGGCTCAAGATTATCGTTTGTATTCGATTGCCTGCATTGTGGACGTCGGTAACGGTTTATTGCTCGCATAACGCGACGAAACCGGGCCACCGGCCACGTTCTGTGCATTTGATTTTGAGATTTATGTTCAAAATCTCTCGGCTTTTGGCTAGAAATGTACGTTGGAGTCTTCTTTTCCTCTAGATTTGTGTCAATCTCATGGTTGTATCTCGTAGTTAACTCAGCCGTTATATCGTTTGGGATGTCTGGGCTGTCAGGTACAGCTGAGCAGCAGTTCCATTTTCTCCGCCATCGCTGGTGCTTCGATATAGTTTGCATGCAGCATCTTTTCTGCGAACCGGACGAAGATGTCTGGCATTTTGCCGATGATTGCCGAGTTGATTGATCACTTCGCAGAAAATTCAAGCATAGGTTTTTGCTAGATGTCACCTTGGCGCCTTTTTTGCAGATGATCGGACTTCTTAAGTGGAATGTACAGAAGGTACATTGTTCGGTGTATTGAATATATCTCCTTCTGTCATTTACAGCAGTAATATTATCCAAGTTAGTTATCAGTGTAGCTTTAGATGTCGCAGCACTTACTCTCCGCTGGGAAGAGGACGCCTTAAAAGAAGAGCAGCAGTGAAAGGTCTGCTCCACGCCGTCTCGATCTGTAGATGGCAGGGCATGCAAGTCATCGTCTAGCCCGGAAATGTGGGCAACGTTAACTGGAGGTTTTATATGGTTCTCCTCTAACAGGGAGCACATGTAGTAGGTATCTAATGCAGTCTGATGATATTCCCTGGAATTGGCACAGCAGTGTATACTAAAGTATGTACTTTCGTCTAGTGAACGTGTAATATTCTGTTTGTTGTTAACGTACGCTGATACGTTGTTCGGATGAAGCAGAGCAGAACACATATAAAATTTTCCGCATTTCCTTCGCCTATTTATTGCGGAAGGAAGTTTTATAGTGTTATTCTCTTGGGATTCCCTACCCCCGGCACCGGTCGCTTGTTTGTTTTTGGCTTCTTGGGCTAGCTTATGATTACGAATGTACTCGTAAGTTGTCAGCCCCAAGAAAGATATGTAAATATGGAAAAAACAAAGATGAAGCAACAGACCTGCTGTAATAGCTGCCAACAAACCCAAACAGCCGAGCAAAATCAGAAAAATTTGCTGATTTACCGCTATGCCAGCGAAAGACATCGACGAAGATGAGTTGTGTGCAAAAGTGTTGTTGCTACTGTTCGGTAGTGTATCTGTTCCCTGTGTTCCATTAGTAGTATACAGCAAAGTTGTGTTCTCCGGGTTCAAGGTGTCCAAAGCAATGTCAGCACCAGCAGAGGTCACGTTCTGAAGTATGGAGATAGCAATTGACTGATTAAGTACGAGATCATCGCCAATTAGACTGTTCTCAAACATATAATTAATACCATCTTTTGTGTTGTTTTCGCCAAAGCCGGAAAATTTCTGGTTTAATGATTCAGCATCAATTTTGCTGGTTATATCTGCACCTTCATACCATAAACTCAGCCATTCGGGACGCCAGTAGTAGAAGGCAATTTGAGCCACTACCGCCACCACTATCACAAGAGCAGCACACACCGCACTAACAACACACATCAGGAAGGCTACATAATTTCGGGAGCCAATGCAGTGATTCAACCACTTACAGTGGTGGTCAAATTTACCAATGCACTTGTTACAAACTGAACAGTGCTTGGTACGATTTGAGGAGGTTCGAATGTTGCACAGATGACATCGGCCGTTCTCAATAACATGGGCGTGTTTGGATCTATCAAACTCTGGTACAATTCGGTCGTTTCGATGCAAGCGAAGCAGTTCCCGGTCGGCGGGGTCAATGAGTAATGCCGCTAGATGCGATGCAATGTGAACAATGTACAGTCCAGTGATGAGACCATATAAAGGTCCCTGAATTGTCGTATTAAACGAAGGTACTAATATTCCATAAGCCGCTAAACCGAACAGCCCTAAAACTAACCATCCGAATAATTGTAGAGGATGTAGCGGAGTTTGAAGCCCGTGCAGTCGTCGCCCTTTTCGGTGGCGTAGAGTTGTAATGTTATTTTGGAACGACACCACGTTGGAAAATTTCCAATTTCTAGGCGATCTGTACAACTGTGTGGTGCTTAGTCCGTTTACAGTGTTTGGAGATACCCTCTGATTAAAAAAGTGGAGAACACCACTATTCCGATTGGCACTTTTATTTTGAATGGGAGCTGTCGTCAGCTCCGTGTGTAGCTGTGGATTTTTGGCGTAATTATTTATACTCGTTGTTGTGATTGTAATGATGTTGTCTCCGTCATCTTGGATTTGCTTCGGAGCTTCTTCGAGTGTGTCTTCATCGCTATGTGCGGAAATTGTAGAAATGCCGTTAACCACGTTGTCCGACAAATCTTCGTCACACCTTAATTTTGTGTCCCCGACGTCTTTACTTATTACAGTTTGCTCCTGACCCGATTGCATGTTGCTTGAAATTTAACATTGGCACTGACACTTTGTCCCACAATTTAGCACACATAGGTATTTTAACGAAAATATTCCTTAGCTTGTATCGGGCAACCTCCTCCAGTCGACGTAGCTTCGCGTTGATCAGCAGTCTGTAGTTTAGAATCATTACACTAACTAAAAGTTACCAGGTCCTTGTTTTTTATACCAAATTTAGTTTCAAAAGTGATGTGGCCCGCTTGATTGATGTGGTTGTCAATGATCCCACGCTTTGGTTAACCGTCCTAAAATTTGATGATGTTAATAAATTACACACATCTTTACAAGTACTTACCTTATGTTCATTCCTCGATTTGCCGTGGAAACGATATTTTTAATTTACCAAATATTGGTGCTGGTAAAAAACAACTGTGTGCAGAATCATTTTTGGCGTGACGTATTCGAATCAATATTTCCAGGAACGGGACATGTATTGTATGTTGTCGAAAATTCCAATATTTGCCTAGATTGAATGCCTTGCTCCTCAACCCAGACCTGACGTTTATGTAATGAAGAATTTAGATAGTTTTGCTCCAAATGTGACTAGTTTAAATCCGAATGTCCTTATAATCCGTAATATGTGTGTCCGTTTCGTATATAATATTTTTGTTCAACTCACATACACACACACATACACACGTTCTCAGATAAATACTGTTATGTTTGAAATGTTAACAACTTCCACGGGGGTGGAAACGAGCAGGGACGTTTTGATGGGCCTTGTTGCAGCAGGCCGAAGTAGCTTTGTTTGCGTTTTGGAGTATGTATTTCAGATTTTCCATATCCATGGAACTACACTATTTTGTTTATAATTTTTCCAGTTCATAGACAACTTCATAGTGAACGCAGTCTCTGCAGCATGCCGCCTGTATTGAAGATTGTTTATATTTTAATACTTTCTTAAAATTTAATAACACGCGAACGAACTTCTGCAAATCGACAACAGAACTCATTTCATCATATCTACATATTATTGAAGCTATTTTGTTACGGCTTTCACACACTAAAGGAGAAAAACACTAAAGGGGATGATTGTGTTTCGGCAAAGGGGGGTCGAAATTTCAGATTTACTCTCTATTTAAGCGTTTTGGTGGTGTCTTTTGTGTGAGTACTCAGCAATCCGTTATTCAGCGAAGACACGTACGCCACTAAAGAGTTTCGTTCAATAACTGAAACCAAGTATCTCTGTCGAATAGCTTGTCGCGAAAGTATTCCTTTCGAGGAAAGCTTTTGCTCTCTTTTCACGCATGGAAAGTATCCTCTCATACACGTAAAGAAATGTGTCTAGCAACGGTGCAAATGTAACAATGCGCGATATGGTCACCATGCCAAGCATTGTTATGTACAGATAGAAGTGTGTTATTTAAAAAAAACATATTCTATTACTGTGGCAACTATCAAGTGTTTTAGAGCAAACAAATAAAGGAACGGGAGGCTGTTTTATAAAAACACCGCCAACTGAATTAGAATTTCTACCGCGGTATTGTACACATCACATGCCATAAACTAAAATTCTTTGTATGAACTTTCCTCAAAAGACAACTGAAAAAGCTAGCCAAAATGGTTTACGCTGATAAATAACATGATTGACGCATACAAAAATTGGTTGCGGGTCGGAAAAATGTTAAACCGAGATTTTAAGAGCGCTGTTCAGATGTGCCCCCTCCCCCTACTGCCCTACAATTTTTAAGTATAGCTGTATTCCCGCCGGTGATTTTGACAAGGACCAGTGGACAGATTCCAAACAGTCATATATATATATATACTATCTGCGTATTACGATCAAAATCATATTGCGGGAAGTGTTGCCAATTTAGTATATTTGGTGCTAGATTCAGCACCAGCGACTACTTTGCTTTAGTCACCAACTTTCCGAATGTTTTCGTTAATAGACGAAATTATAAGAAAATGAAAATTTGCTGTTATCGATTATCGTCGCTAATTTTTTCGTAAAACCGTTGCAGAATAGCACCACATAGTTTAAAAATTAGCATCTGGTGACGTTAGTATAAGCCCCACAAAGCAAAAGCTATTAACCCTTTCAGTGTCAAAAAAAAATTTTGTCGGAATAAAATTTTGTACTTCAAATCATATGAAGGCACAGAGTTTAGAAAAAAAAACAAATCTTATTTTAACCCTCGGACAGTTTTGTCTGTCTTTCAGCAAAAACAAAGACATTAATTGTAACGGTACATAGGATAACCGAAAAATTGCAAAGGAGAGAGTAATTTTAAATGTCGAATATATTCGACAAAAACACGGGTTAAACATTGCCGTCAATGGCTAACGTTGCAAACGATCACTCAGACAATTTCAGCTTAGCTCATATTTGTGCTAGTAAGAGAGTAATTTTAAATGTCGAATATATTCGACAAAAACACGGGTTAAACATTGCCGTCAATGGCTAACGTTGCAAACGATCACTCAGACAATTTCAGCTTAGCTCATATTTGTGCTAGCTCAATGCAGATTTTATAAGGTGCCGCATCAACACAGCTGTAGGTAAAAATAAATATCTTCCAGTAAGATTTCTCCAGCACAATTCGATTTCTTTTCCAGCATCTTTTCCAGCATTTCCAGCATCTTTCTGGATTTTGTCTGTTTACTTTTCTCTGTATTATCGAGAAGAGAATAAACACGGCTTACTCTCTGAAATAAAACCTACTGAGTAGGGGAGACTGGGGACCATCAGGGATGGAAAATTCAATACAATACTTTTTTCAGTACCTTTTTACCCAAAAAAGTACCGTAGTACACCCGTGACCATTTCAGCACCATTCCAAACCTCCATTAAACCATTATATATATAATTTTTTTTAGATTAGAATTTGTTATGGATTTGACCGGCAAAAGTATTGCAGATATGGATATTGATGTGATTGCAATATTCGTAAAAAAAAAATTAATGGGTTTACGACTGATAACCGTTCAGTTATGATTAAAATTACAAACATTAAATTAATTTATCAGTTCCAATATTTTTTAACCGGATATGTTTGTCAGATACTTAATTTGGCGTACTCTGTGCTATCTCCTGAGGTAGACAAATTGATGACATTCATAGTCGTTGTGATTACTTCAATAATTTCAAGAGCACTTTGGAACTGAAATTCATGCTAGTTTGGGGTATATTGACTTTCGAGAAAGAGGTAGTGAAATTAAAATTATCCAATAGCATACATATTCAAATGCAATCGAAAGAAGCAAGAATTCTCACATTGTTACCATCAGAAAGATAGACTAAGTGATGATATCTTTAAAATCGATCTTTATGAAACTGAAAATACTCTTTTATTAAAAAAAGTACTCTTTTGGTACCTTTTCACATTTTTCATTTTCCAACCCTGGGGTCCATTCATTATTGTTGTTAATTTTTGCCTCTAAAACAGGGCAAATTACCTATAGTGCAATGGTAAGAAGAAGTTTATGATTTGTGAATGAATCAATATCTAAATCATATTCTCAAGTCTCTAGAATTTTTTTCGATAATCATAGATAGAACAGTTATCTGTTCACAGATTTAATGCAACTATCCTAAATAGGATTCGAATGGAAACTTAAAAAATTTGGATTAATTTAACGCATTTTCAATTATGTTTTGCGGTTTGTACTATTCGCTTGAAGATATGGATTCGACGTATTTGGGTAATACGGCCGTACACAAGATTATACCATAGTGGGGAAGTTGAATATATTTGTACGCCCAGTCGAATAATAGGTAACGTTGCTAAATTAACAATTCCAAGGTGTGCTAATTAGGTGTCCCTTTCAAAAGTTTTCTATTTTCACACTTAATCGGTAGAGTGCAATACACATAAGCGTTTAGAATAAAAAATTATTTAAAAATTTTCGAAACGAATCGAGGGTTAATCAGAACATGTTTCCCTTCATGTGTGTGCTAATTACATGACCACCACTGCATATAGGTTTTAGGAGTGAACTTCAAAGTATATATATAAGGTCAAAATTTCCTAAATTAAGGTTTTTTCATTTAAAATTTGAAAACTGAATGATGTCAAAAGCAAATATGAAAAAATTAGGAACATATGACTGCATGAGACTACCGTGTATAATTATAGTACGCAGTAGTTGGAAATAGTATCCCTATAAAAATATCAAAAGTTTTAATTAAGAAATATTAAAAAACGCATTTCTTACACAAAGGTACACTCGATGGCAGCCGTTTTACCACCTACAAATGGCGCCGGTGACCTGGAAATAAGTCCCCATATATAGTTGTTTTTGTTTTGTGTATAAAAAATTAGGGACTTATTTCATTTTTTTAGAGACTTACTTCATTATTTCATACCGCCTTCTTTAACTACACACAAGGACTATTATTTTAACGCAATAACTATATCCCATTAATATCTTTATTAGATAGTTAGCGTTGATATGTATGCATATCGCTCTATTTGTAATAGTTAAACTACATACTAATTTTCAGATTTCAATCTGTAAATTGTCCATTATAATTTCATATTTTGTACCAATTTCAAGAACTAGTACTAAAATGGAATTTGTAATAGCTAAATCTGCGTACCGCGTTTCCATTGTATTACAGTATTTTAGTACTAATTTCAAAGAATTAAGCATGCATTATATTTCTAATAGAGTAAGCTACATACCAAATTTCAGATTTCTATTTCTACCAGCTCCATTGTATTTTATTATTTAGTACTTTTTATCACCACATTTAAAAAATATATAGGTATAGTATTATATTTGTAAATCTATATGCGAAGATTCGCATGTATATTTCTATCGGTTATATTGTAATATAATATTTATAACTTTTTAGTACATTTTAGTACTAATTTCCAGAAACTATGTTTGCCCATCATTCTATTTGTATTAACTTAAGTTACATACCAAATTTCAGATATCTATTCCTACCTGTTCCATCGTAGTATAATATTTAGTACCTTTAGTACTAATTTCCAAAATTTGTTCACACATTCTGATTTGCTTACCGTGGACAAAGCTGTATACCAAATTTTAAAGTTCTACTTCCAACCGTTCTGGTGTAATACAGTTTTAATATTTTTAGAACCAGTTTAGTAACATTTTAAATGTAGCGTTTCACTCACACTTGTCCGTCCTACGTTTTTCAAGCCGGACATTCGCTATGTGATCACGTTTACCGAGGAAATAGGTTAACATTTCTTTAAGTCAGTTTTTCACATAGATTTAAGTTAATCGATGCACTTTTGTAACCCTCGTAATGGACACAAATGTTCAACTTACTGCGATTCGCTCACACCTATTCGTAATTTGCGTCCCGCGACTTTAAGTAAAACACATATTTTAGCAACAACTAAACATTGTTAACATTAACAACATCAACCACTATATTTCTAATTGTGACATATTGTCTAATCTATTATTGTGTTATTTATTGGCTATAATATGGCGAAGTGCATTACTGCAGGTGTGACATCGAGTTTATTCGGCCCGGCACAGGAGCGTTGCAAACCGAAAAAGACGCATCCAACTAAATAGCTTCGACTCAACGAAGTTTTCATCTGCCTGCGATGTAGTCATGCTGACCCGCGATGTCGATGAATTTGATGATTGGCTGACTCGATCCCCTTGTTTCAGAGCAGGAGATGCCATCTTTGAGATCGGTGTAAACGTAATTTTGAAGTTTTGCGGTAGAATCTATGAGGTCTGCAAAGAAGGAAATAAACAAGAAAATTACAAATTATCATCTACATTACATCGTCATTTATTACTGTTTTCTTCAGAACTTTGCACGCTGCAATATTTTTACCATCAGGATCGAATATAAAGCTAATGGTAATTTTCTTTTGATTGTCGCCCCATAAAATCGTCAGAGTATCCCAATTTTCTTCAGTAGTTAGAACAGAGTGATTCTTTCTTAATTATAAAAAAATTATTTAATTCCTCCTGTAACATTTTTTGAGAGAACAAACAGCATGCAAGCAAGTTGGAAACATTTCCAGATAAAGTGAAAATTATTAATGAAAATTCAAAAACTGGAAGTTTTGTATAGATGTAGCGTAAATTACATGAATCAAAACTAGATCGCCCCAGGCTGCCGTTTTGACTGACACAAAAACAGTTGCAAAATATTTAACCTTTAATGACCCAATGTTGTTCGTCTGCAATTTCCCGTCGTGGCGATATCAACTGGACACCAAAATCATGCTATTTGACACCATTACACCTTTTTATGGGACAGCGCGAATGACCGTGTTTATGTTTATGAAAACTTAAAACCCAAACTGCGAATGAGATACCCCCGATATGTGTCAAATTGTGGTCGATAATTACTTCAAAATTATAATTACTTCAAAAATATAATTACTTCAAGGGTATAATTAAAAGGTGAAGGGTATAATTAAAAGGAAAAACAACTCAATTCGAACTTCAAAATTTCAGCTCTATGGGTTCCCCAAATCCAAATTATACCAATTATAGAACGATTTAGTACTGTTCGTACACGAAAGTAAGAAATTTCCAAATATCCCAATCCTAAACTCCGACGGTAATGTTACTTTCAAATGTCAGGATTACATCTGAATCGGTTTCCCTAAATTCAAAATGTACCAAATTTAGTACAGTTTAGTACTTTTCGTATACATGAGTACACAATTTCGAAACCATCTCCTTATATCGATCCTACATCTCAACATTAATTCGCATTTCAAATTTTTAGCTCTATCCATTCAAATAGTACAAATTTAGTACCTTTTGGACACTTATAGTTCGGATGTCCAAAACCCTTTGGTACATCTATCCAAATTTTAGAGTTCTAGCTCCACCGGTTCGTCAATTACAAATGGTACCGTATTTAGTACTTTTCGTGGCGTTCTAGTAGAATATTTCCTAAACCCCAGCCTTATCTGACACCTTTGGACCAAAAGTGACCCTCACCCCAAATGTCAAAATTCCAACTTCAGCCGTTTAGTCTGGGCGTTGATGACTGACTGACTTAACGATTCATCAACGCCTCACTTTACTATTTTATTAGAATAGATTAGATATATATATATATACAAGGTAGGATATCTTTTGTCAATAGGAATATGATTTAGATATTGGTTCATTCACAAAACTTTGCATACACAATCGCACATTTTGTACACGACTTTGGCATAACAAGCCACAATTGGGAAAGGGAAAAGGGCTCTCAGAGTACAAAATAATTTAAAAAGTTTGGGAACGCAAATTTAGTAAATATTCCAAAATTAGATGACAATAATCAAAATCAACATAACACCCAATCAGAAGTAAGCATTCCAGTTTACCATTTTTACTCAGCCAAATTTCTCGAGTAAAAAGTTTACAAAGAGAAAGCCATTTTGTTTTGTGCTCTCTTAAATTTAATTTAATGTTTTACCTATTCAGGCTCCTATTATTAAAATTGCTAAAAATATAATTTTTGATGAATTATTAAACGGTTTTCGCGTTTTCTCGAAACGCATATTTCTAAAAAAAACTGTGTTTTTATAAATAGCGGGCTCGACAACTCAAAAACTAATTATTCAATCCGTTCCAAATACGTTATTCAGTACGTATATAGCTGTGGTATGTGCTAAGATAAATGTAATCAGTCAATAGCTTTCTTAGTTTCTAACAGCCAGACATGTCCTCTTTCGCATACCATTGGAATTTTTGGATGCGGATGGTGCTTACTTACTTACTTAGAAGGCTTATGACAGAACGGTTGTCCCATAAGCCGAGCTTAAAAAATGATCGCAAATCATGCCTGTCTTTCTTGATTTATAAAAACAACTACAACTACCTTGCCCCACATAATAGTCAAGATTGTGCGAATTATTAATTTTATAATGTCATGCGAACGGACTATCCGATATGACCCAACCAAAGACCCATTGCTCCACTCCTTCTGCAACTATCCCCACAAAGGATCAAAATTTTCAATATTTATAAATCAAATATCAGGCGAATGGAATGTCCGATTTGAACCAAACCAAGCCCAGATTAAGTCCGAAGGTAGGACCCGTTGGTGCCTCCCCACAATGGACCGATTTGATCAACCTAAAATCCGAAACCTCTTTGATAAAAACATATACCTTATATAAAACGAATTATAAAACCTGTGTGTAACTCCGAAGACCTCCGCAAACCATAGGCTGAGGGTATGTATCTGTCGACAACACCGACTGACACTATTTTACTTGTTTTCTTATTCGTTAAGTCTCATGGTATAATAACAGAAGGTAACAGCAAGTGTTGTTGTACAACAAACTATACAACAACCACATGGAAATGTAAACAAACAAGCAAATTACATTTTTTTGAGAATGTAATATTTTCGAATCTTAAAAATAAAATTGAAAAACATGAATGAAAATCTATCAAATTTATATTTTGATCACTTCCACATCTTTCCTATAATTGAGGCATTGCTACATATATGTGTAACCAGTGTTGCCAATTTAGCACTTTTAGTGCTAGATTTAGCACTTTTTGAACTCGTTTAGCACCAAAAAAATTGATCTAGCATCTAGCACTTTTTTTAGCATTTTTAATTTCTTAGGAATTTTTTTTTACAAAATTTTGGTTTCAATGCAAAAAATCCCGTTTTTCGATTTCATGTTGAATTTTCGCTATGTTTCACGCGATGGATTTGATTTTCCAATGCTATCCAGCACTATGATATTGTCTGTTGGTAGACTGTTTATTTGCGAAAATGAAAAACCAAATTAAGTTGTACATTTTATGAGAGCGATGTAAAAATAATGAACATGAATTATGTTGGAACTTTCTGAAAACAAGTTTTTTTATTCAGCGGGAATCCCGAATGCCAAGTTATAACCACTTTAGATTACCGAAAAGGCAAGCATACCCATTTATATTGGGATTGTGCCAGAATGAGGACCAAAATAGAAAAATTCCGGGAAACATATTTTTTTATATTAAAGTCGCTGTTGAGAATGAGATTATGAACCCTTAAAAGTACACAAATGGGACGAAAATTGATAATCTTCATATTTGTACGCAATGTGAAATTACAGTTATTTACCTTAACCAAATTTGGGCATTATTAGTATTTATATTTTAGTAGGAAGATTTCAAACCCCATCAAAACAAAAAATAGAAAAAATTTAGTCAACTCGGTTACGTGTCCGAAGTCCCCAAAATGTCGAATAAAGGGAATATACTGTGGGGGCTACCCCTAAATATGGACCCATATTAATAATTTCTCATAAAATTGGGGTACCGTTATATGGGGGCTACCCGAAAAAATTGACCCATATTTATAATTTCTTGTGGAGAGATTTGTTACCCAATAAGAACTCAAAGTACTAAATTACAGCCAATTAAGTTAAAACCACCCAAAAACTGGAAATTGGGAGGTACCCTTATATGGGAGCAACCAGAAAAAATGGACCTATATTTATAATTTTAAGTAGGGAAATTTGGTACCCAATAAGAACTCAATGTACCAAATTTCAGCGAATTCGGTTGAAAACCGCGCTCATGAACCCTAAAGTACTGAAAATTGGTGGGTGCCCTTATATGGGGGCTATCCGAAAATATGGACCCCTATTTATAATTTTTAGTGGAGATATTTGCTACCCAATATGAACTCAATGTACCAAATTGCCCTCAGACGGACAGACGAACAGACGAACTATATCGTCATAGAATTTAACGGTGATCAAGAATGTATATACTTTATAGGGTCGGAAATGATTATTTCGATGAGTTACAAACGAAAAACAAAATTAATATACCCTCCATACTATGGTGAAAGGTATAAAAATGTGCCTAAAAGCTTAAAAAAAATATTGGGGTATGGTGTACCCAAAAAGGACCGATATATTCCATTTCCAATATCAAATCTCATAGAAATGGTACCAACGTATGTGCAAAATTGGAAAGCTCTGTCTTCAATATTGCGACCTCAATGCGACGGACATGGCTAAATCGACAACGAATAGCCGTTAAGAATAAATTAGGTTTCTGATTAATATTTCATTATTAAATATTAACAATTTTGTTTAAGAATTTTTTAGCACTTTTTTCTGGCACTTTTTTTAAATTATTTAGCACTTTCTAGCATTTTTTTCAACAAAATCTAGCATTTTTCCTCAACAAAGTTTTGGCAACACTGTGTGTAACACATATGAAAATGCTGGGAATTGCGAGTTATTCCATAAAGAAAGATTTGCTTCCTCAAACTTTCCCAGCAGGCAGATTGAGTAAATTAAATACATTTAACAACGTTACCTAAAATCCAACGAGGCGTACAAAAATATTCAACTTCCCCACTATCGCGAAATGTTTTGTACGGCCGTATTACCCAAATACGTCGAGTCCATATCTCTTAGCGAGCTAAACAAAATCGAGAAATAGACTTGAAAAATTATAAATTTGTTCAAACATTTCATATTCTATTTAAAAAAAAAATATTTTATGTTTTGTTTCTTTTTTCAACAAATGAAAAACAAAAATACGTTCTGTCATAGTTGAATTTTTTCATATTTGAAAATTCGTACGTCGACGTATTTCGGTAACATTCATACATATATACATATACATACAGTGAGTGTAATAAGTACTTTGCCTCAATAAAATTTTGAAAAAATTCCAATTTATACGCATAAAGCCAGCAAACTAAAGATGTAAAATGAATTAT